AAAGCAGCAACAAGTTAAGAGCTGTGGTAGTGTTGCTGAGTTAACTAGTCCTTTCAACAGATACATTCCAAGTTAATTCAAGGCTTGATAGTCAACGTGCTTTCAGATTTGTGATGGGAAGGAGAAATGCTAACCAGCTGACTTTTAAAAGAAAGCTGCCTCCTGCTATAGGACTGTTTCAGTAAGAGACTGTTGTATTTGTCTATGAAATCAGAGCAGCTAACCTGATTTACTCAAAAACATTAATTTCATACAGATTAGAAGAATCAAATACATTGTGAAATTTAAGGACAGTACAGGCCACTTAAAGTTTTTTTCCTGCAAAAATTTATTTTACTGAAAAGGCTTCTCTTCTGTTAGCACCTTGTAGTTTAAAGGCAAAAACGTTAAAAAGCGTACTCAGAGTAACTGATCTGACTTCAGACAGGCCTGTGTGATCTTACGCTTAATAGTTAGCCCATCCTATACATCAAGTCCCCAACATCTGGGTAACAGGAGAAAACACTTCCTATCTCACAGTAAAATGGTGAGATGAGGTTTCAAACTAGGCAGGTATTAAAACTCTGCAACTATAAATATCAAACAGCTAGAGAAACATAAAACTGAAGCCAAAATTGTCTTCAAGGAGATGAGTTTTCCAAAGGCACCTTAAGCACACCAGTCCCTCAGAGATATTTCACCTATCCTTTTTTTTTTTCTCTATTATTCCAGAAAGTTCACCTTTCTGGATGACGCTTACTTTCAAAATTCCCCTTCCTGAATGTGAAGTGTGTATCACAGAACAAATGTAGCTATTTTGGTTGTTCAAGCATAAAATCAGGTGAAATACAGGCCAAAAAGGATCACAATTACCTTAGCATGCTTTAATTCCAGTTCTGCTAGTTCCACCAGATTTTTTCTGAATGCTGCAACTCTTCTTGTCTTAAAGTCTATCAGTTCTAGAGAAAATAAAAATGGATTCACTAACAGTGTTATTGCCACTCAACTGTTAACAGACTTTCCTTCAGGATGGAAGAGGTAAAAGGTGAGAGAAGGCAACAGGAAAAAACCTCAAGTTTAATCTTGGCACATTCTGGGCTCAAAGATGCTGCTACACTCTTGGATGAAAGCAAACCATCGTTGCAGTTCCTCATCTCTAGCTAACCTTTCGTGGACATAAAGCTCTTCTGAAAAAAGACTGCAATATGCATGCTTTCAAACATTTAATTCTCTTATTCCAATGCTGTTGTCAGACCAACTTTTACACACATACACCGTTCTTTCAAGGCTGACATGTGAAAGTATTTGGGAAGATACTAAGCTAAAACTAGCACAAAGAACAGAGGCAACAAGCCTGCTTTATGCATCCACCTTTGTGGCTAACAGGATCATTCATTCTCCACTGTCTCATTTACAGGAATCGTTACCAGATTTACAGGGTCAAACAAGTCTTAAATGATAAAAACAGAAGAGCATGGTGTTCAAACCTGGAACAAATCTGACCCAAATAATGAGTCAGATGACTACTAACTCAGAGCAATCTTAGCCTAAAAAAAGAAAGTAAGTTTCCAGACAAAAGACAACCTGTAAATAATCTTCCTTTTCTCTAGAGCTGCTGTAACTCTGCAACTTCAGTGAAACATCATTTCATGATCTCTCCCTTTTCCAATGTAGTATCATCTCTGCAGCTGACTGCTGCCTTCACAGAAGAACGCATAAGACCAAAAGGGGAATTTCAACAATACTTTCAATTATTAGGTTTGCCTTTAGTGCTAGCAATTATCATTTTGTATCCTACCCTAAGTATATTAAAAAAAGTTAACAAATAATTTACACCTAGATTTTGTTCTGCCTAGTGGAGTTACGAGGATCCAAAGGAAAATACCATTTGAACTTTCTATAATAAGTAAATACTGATTAAAAGACAATAGCTCTGCTTAGGAAACAGAACAAAAAAAAAATCTATTCTCATTAATAATATCCTAAAATCTGTTAAATTTTTGTCGTAACATAGGATCAAAGACCACCCAAATACCTTGTTTTGCCGATTCAGAAATTTTCTCAAATTTCTGACAGCATATTTGCTGAGTAGTTTCAGCTTGCAGCACATCTTTATTTTTCGCTCTTGCTTTGTCCAATGCCTTATTAGCATTTTCATAATCCACTAGTGACCTAGATCTTCTATATAAAAGATCCTATAAAAAAAAGGCATAAAGGATGTATAGAGTTTACAAGAGTCTACCCAAGGAATTTTAGTCATACCAAGCAATAACAAATAAAAATAAAGCCATATTAATTTTAGTCTTTCTTGCTGTACTTCAGTTCTTACTAAATTATTTGCATTCCCTTTACTTCATCCTGCAAGTCACAGGAATGTCCACACTGCATCAGATGCGCAATTTAATATTGTTTAGTCTGCATCTTGTCTGACAGAGGCTAGCAATGGCTGGCTTAGATGATACTCAAGAAAGCCTAAGAGGGGGCAATCATAGGAAATTTCACAGCTTCTTAGATTAGAAACAAACTCTATTTAGATTATGTATTTGAAGTATACACAGGGCCCAAGAAACTGCAGTAGCATTTTCTATGCAACAGTTATTCCTGTGATCTCCTATCTAAAGACATTTTCTGTCAAATGCTTCCTCATTCTGTCATGTTACTTAATCATCAAAAACCACTAAGAATTAAATTTCCTGTAGGTATAGAATAGCAAATTTGGCCCATGTGTTTTTGCATCAACACTTGCAGATCATCTGGAGTATCCAATTTTAATGTTAAAAAAAGAGTAAATTGCTTGCAGTCTACAAGCAGCAAACACATTGCAAACACACGAACAATTAACCAACAGCTCTTCCACTGTTTTTAATTATACTGCATGATTTGGCCTTGGTAAGTGGATCACAGAGTTCCAGTCAGTCCCACAGTCAGCAACAGTTACTCCTTATATACAACAGAGATCCAGCTTTCACAGTTGATGGAGAAATTGCAGGCTAGAGATGTTAGCATTTTAACTTATCTACCATGTATTTCTCAAGATGACCCCTTCTCTGTCTTTTTTTTCTTTTTAAAGAAACAATATTTCACTGAACAAAACCCCATAAATTCACCTTAGCAGCTTGAGATTCCCTTAGGTAATATTTCAGAAGATCAGAAAGTTTAAGATCTTCATCAGCAGATACCCGGGCTTCTATTTTCTGGAAAAACAGTAAGTAAAAGCATCAATTTAAAAACATCCAGACTTTGGGTATTCACTTCCGTGATGCAAGTACAACACAATATCTACAACACTACATGACAGATTATCTTTTTCAAAAACTAAGATCATGCATTTGTGACAGAATACTTAAAGATGCACCATGAAAAGCAGTATTAGGATTTTCTATTAAAATATAAACAATAATTACTGTGTGAGCAGGAACTGACAACTAGCTTTCTATTTCAAACAATGCTTTCTTCCAATTTCAATTATAGGTATCATATACTAGAAAAACAGCAGAAAGAAAAAAATTTATCTAGTATAAAGAGTTGCACAAGACACTTTGTGTTGTTTTTGAGATCAAAAGAAAACAAATTTTTAGCACCTTTGCAGACTAGTTGTGTAACTGTGCGTATTAAATGGTCCAAAATACTAAAAAAATTATTTGCTTTTATTTGAAACAGACATTTCTGTGACTTTAGAAACAGAGTCTACAAGTGCATTTTTTAAATCTTAATTTTAAAAAAAAATTTCTACAAGGCAACATTTTAGGTCAAAGCCAAGTAACCCCATTAACTTCATTTTCTTTAAGTATGTATTTATGCAGATACAACTGTCTGTGTTTAGGAAATGCATGCATTTTTCATTCAAAAGCTTTCCTGATCCATGGCACACCATCTTTTGCTCTACCAAGCCAAACAAATAAGATAAGAGACAAGATACTAAAAAATCTGGTTAGAAGCATCAGCAATACTATTTCTGAGTCAAATAACTGCAGAAACAGATCTTGGCTACAGAAAAAAAAGCAGCATGACTACCATTTTTTTGGATTAACAATTACATTTCTTCATTTCTTTTTTTTCCACAACAAACTCTGTGACACCAAATAACAAGTATGGAAGGCCTCTAAGCATCTTAGAGGAACGGCAGCTTTACTAGTGTATTACATAGCAGACAGGGAGACTGCCCAGAAACATTTAGTAGGCTGAAGACTAAAAATCAATTGTTTTACAGAACAGATGACTGAAATGCTATGCTTTTTCATTCCCTACCACATATTGCTTAAATGCTTCATACAGAAGCATCCACAAAACATCCACATATTAATGTCCAGTTGACACAAGATGTCCTGCCACTTCCAGGATGCACACAAAGACTATACCTGAAAATGTTTCATAGTACATACCCTTGTTTTGTCAAATAACTCTGATACCTTCAGAAAAAACCTGCACAAAGGAAACAGCTAACATTACAACGTTAATTTGAACAGTCTAATTACTTTCTAGAATTCAAAATATAATCAGTGTCTGGCAATAAAGACTGTAAAGGCACTGGTTAGAACTGTAATTCACAGAACTCAGAGAAGATAATAGTTTCAAATCGTAGCACTTTGAACATGTGGGAATTGTACAACTTCAGAAATGCTGCTAAGGGACGAAAAGCACAACGGGTGGATGTTTTTTACTAAAGAATAATTGCACAGCTCCTCAGGGCTTCTTCATGCTTCTATGGATTAAACTCCAAACACCACCGCCCTGGTTAACGGTCCTATGCTGTTATCAAGCATCCTTCACTCAAATGAAAATGTATTTTTCTTCAAGCAGTAAACATGACGCATGTCCTACTTGGAATTCAGGGAGGCTGAGGCCCAACACAGCACATCTTCATCACAGGAGACAATGCAAGGGTTCAGTGTAACAGCAGACAGAGTTACAGTCAAATCATACTATTTTGACAGGAGACAGATGCAATTCCTGACAGACCCGAACAGACTACATCAAATCTTAATACTATAATCAAAGTAATTGATACGCAAGCGATCACCACATTTGGACATATATCACTGAAATTCAGGTAAATTAATAAAAATAAGTTAATTTTTACACTCATCTCCTACCTGTCATTAACTAACTCTAATAAGTGTACATGTTCACAAGCATCAACATCTTAAAGCTGGTTAACTAAGTTTTACTTTCAGATACACCAAACTTCATATTCAAGCAAATCACTGGAAGAATAAAGGACAAACATCTGTACATAGAGACCCTCTTCTATTCTCAAAGTTTTAGGGATCTCTGTAGATTCCTTTCTTTTCCTAAAGGCAGTAAAATTGCCAGAACAGCAAAACTATTTATCAAGATGTTGGTACAGGGAACACCCACAAAAATCACTATACTCCGACTGAGACCTGTTCTTGCTGAACGTGTCAAAGCACTTAAAACACTTGAAAAAAAAAAAACAACCTGGTGAAAGAGTTTGGGTTTTTTTTCTTATTCTATGAGGGCTTTTCCACCTCATCTGTATAATTTTCTATAAACTGCAGAAAACAGCATTTGTTTCCAGACAAATATTAAAGCAATGTTAATGCAGCCTATTACAGAAATGAAATAGTAGATAAGAAAAATCTCTTAATGTGATATAACTATAATAAATTCTGGTTTTCTCATAACAAGAGAGCTACTGATCTCAGCAGGTCATCATTAAGAGTGCTACTTAACAAATTCCCCTGTAAGTTATTAATAATATCTTACTTGCATATATCTGTGGAGTCCTGCGTTCCTAATGCATATAATGAAGAACCAATTCTATTATAGTCATCCGCCACATCTAGAAAAACAAACAAGCACTTGTTTTACTATTTCATTCCTCTTCTTTCTGAAAATTGTGAAGTTCCACTCTTCAAGAGTAGGTGTTTTTCTAAAAGGGACATGCTTTAACACAAAAGCAGAAATAAAATTTCAATCATGTCATTTATTATGAAGGATAACTTCACACAATAAACATGTCACTCTCACCAAATTGTGAAGCCTGTAATTTATCTAGGAATATTTACTACAATTAGCAACTGCTGGGCAAGTTATTGTGCAACTTCGTTAGGTTTTGTTTTGGTGGAAGATGTACAAAACTCAATGGCTAAAGTCTGAATTTAAATCTTAATCAATCTAAAGTCTAAAGCTATTGAAAAAAAAATAATGAAGAGTAGGTCTGTGTGCTTGAGAGCAATAAATTGAGTACAAACTCCAAAGTACCAAAACCCAGTGCTAGATGCACAATACCTTTTCTACCACACACTTGATTTTCAGGAAACCCTTACCTCATCAACAAGGAGTCACTGGCTGAAGTAACATTAGTGTTAAAGCATTTTTAACAATGAAATTAGAAGCAGGGTTTGTAAAAAAGGCTGCACAATTTGACTAGGGAGGTACTGCTATATAGTAACCATAAAACCCAAATCTTTTTTAAATTAAAAAAATCTTTGTACAGATGTCTTTTTTAAAGAGCTTTTAGTATAAACCCAATCGATGATGAAAATACTAACAGATCCAAGCAATGAACAGGAAAATATATTTGCCTGTTACTTTTAAAGTTCATATGCCTTTAAGCATAAGTTTTTTTTTAAAAACACAGCTTTGTTTTAACAGTTTGAGTGGGTCATCAATTCATTACCCCATACATCCCAAGGGAATCGGTGCAGTTTGCTACAGCGAAGAATGGTATTGGGAAGCCATTAACCTCCCTTTCTATTCCTCCCATTTAAACGTCAAAATAGATTTCCTGCTGGAAATAGGACACAGTATCTTCGCAAGCTCTGCAGCTCTCTGTCAATCGTAAGTTAAACCACAGATTGCCCATTTCCCAAACAGGCTTCCCAGGTCATTGCTCTACTTCTCTACCCAGAATTTCAGAAGGTGCCATTTGTCCTAATTTGCAGTTTGATAAAAGTTCTCAGTAAACATCCTAGGTGATTTGCCTCTGAAAGACAGTGAAGCTTTTTCACAAGTTGGATCAATCCTTTCACATCAGATCCTCTACAACCTCATTTCTAAGAATTTTCCTGGTTCTACAACCAACATGAAAGGCTCTCTCACTACCTAAAGTCTGCCACCTAATTACCATAAATGAAGTTCAGTTTTCAGAAAGCAAACGAAACACCAGCACCCACTTCAGGTGGGAACCGAATGAAAGCACAGGGTCCCTTAGTACTTCGTTAAGCCATAACTGACTCTCCCCATCTCCTAGCACTCTAGATACTAAAGCTACAAAAGACGCAAGTCTTCATACAACAGCAAGAGAAGCGCTTGAAGAGCTCTGCAAATTCTTTGTTTAATGTCTCATTCAATATCCACTTTAGAGACCTTACCAATGGAGATTCATAAAAGGTTTTACGTGAACTATATTACTGTACATAACAAAGACAGAAACCGTGAATCGGACACAAACTTAAAGAAAGTAGATAGAATCTAGTAGTTCAATTTTGATTTATCCAGGCACAAAAACTTAAAATCAGGGGCAATAAAGGTCAACTTTTTTCTGAGCTTCTCAAAACACAGTAATCCTAAACCAAACACAGTTGTCCTAAACCAAAGATTTTCCATTTTCTCAAATAAATGCACTGCACTTGAGAAGACTACCTAGAACTTCCAGATATCACATTAGCTAGCACTCAGCTCAGGAAGAGAAACCAAAAGCTAAGTGGAAAATCTCACCTCAGTAAAAAAAAAGGGTTCTGCAAACAAAGCTACTGAGTGTACACATTCCAGTCTCCCTTCTAAAAGGCTGAAAAATGGAAACCTGACTTCCTGGTCTAGAACTAATGGCCCAAACAAGACTTTGCTGCTCAGCAAGGTAATGCAATGCCTAGCATGGTAAGAAATTGCACTCTGATGAATGCAAGCTCATCCAATTAAGAGCAACTTCATTAGGAGTAAAATCACATATATATTATATTATCCACCTTTACACTTAAAGACTAAGAATCAGACTTCAAAACCACATTATTACATAAAGTGTGTTTCTCTTCAAAGGGACAGCATAAAGAACCAAGGCATCTTCAGTGTCGCATCAGGCTGTTCTTACTCCATCTAGTCTATTACAGCAAAGGCTAAACTTTGAAAGTCAGATTAAACTTCTTTAGACTATCCGAAGAATACATTTGGAGAAATTAATTCACTTTTCACATGCAAAATGAAAATTAAAAATTACTTCTCCTCATGAACCACTTCTGTACACTTTCACTAGTACTATTTTCACCCTGGAAAAAGAACTCACTTTTATGTGACCTTGTCATTTTATCCGATTTGGCAGAGGCATCTTTGACTCGGTTGTGATATTCTACAAGGAATGTTCTTTCATGCTCAAAGAAGTCATCCACATCCTACAAAAAACAAAAAAAGTTTAAAAAAAATGGGATTTCACTCACTCTGTACAGAGCAACTGCAGAGTAAATTTGCATATATTGCTGTTGTTGTGACATGAAATGCAATCTATTGTCTAAAACACCATTTATGTAAATTGATTTCTTCTTCACTTTATCATGATCTGAAGTTTTATTAAGAATTTGTAACAAGCATCTTAAAGGGCTAGATAACTAAACGAGAAGCGAAGGAAGTAATTTCACTAACTACCACTTTGGTGACAGAAAAATAGACTACATGTTCAGTACTTAAAAGGCTATCTACCTAGAAAAAGAAGGTGGGGAGCGAGGGGAAGACAGAGACTCAGTTGTACAGATGCTGTGGTCATCACAGAGATGGTATGAGCTCAGGAGCACTGACCTTTATGACAGATTTATTTTAAGTTGGTAATGTAGGTAAATTTTAATATTTTCTGTATTACAATTTGAGATATTTGGTTTACAGGTATCTAAAAAACCCCTCTAAAATAGCACAGATGCTCAATACCATGGAACAGCCTACAACGTGGGCTTTGAACAATGTGCTCATGAATACTGCTGTTTATTTGGACTTTACATTTTTCTCCAAGTCATAATTAATCCACGGTTATATCCACTTTCTACCAGTTCTGAAACTCAAGATTTTACAACTAGGAACTTCAGCTCCTCTAATTTGCTTGCAAATGGAAAGTTACCACTAGAAAGGAAGGAGATCAAAATCACCTTCTGCAGAATTTATGGTTGTTATAAGACTAATCTTTCAACTTTTTGAAAAGTCAAAATGAAACTGAACTGTCACTAAATATTTTTTTTTTCTCTCAGTTCCATCCTTGCATCTACTGGGGAAAAAAAAAAAAAAAAAAAAAAAAAAAAAGAGTATCACCTCTACTTCTGCTCTTGGCTTTCAAACAGTAGAAGGATGTTACAAGCCTGGTAAAATTCACACTGTGTTAGTAACTTCTGAGCTGCAGCAGTTGCTAAAGCTAGTGCACCTTCCCACTATATAAAATGCCAGGCCAGAACATAAAAGAGATTATCAATGGATTTAATAAAATGCTTAAATTCATAAAATGGGTGAAAGAGTACTGAAAGCCCTCTTTCACAAAAGCAATCAGATAGTTCTCAGTTATCTTGCATCTAGAGCCACAGGTTCTTTCCCATGCTCTGCCTCTAACTCCTAAGTTAGATATCACTATAAAAATCCCTTTTTTGTAGCTATGCAAAATTCTGCTTTATTAAAAAAAGGGGACGACAACATTAATGCATTAAATCTTGATGCATTAAGCCATAATCACCTTTACTCCTGAAACAATGACACCATCTGCCGATTTAACCATATTTTTAAAGAAGTCTTCAAGTTTCTCTTTCTTATTTTTCCCACGGACACTCAACTGAAAAACAAATTAAATTATCAAGTGAGTTCACTTTCTGGAGGCAATAAAAGCTTTTTAAAAAAATAAAATGGTACTACATACCACAACTTTCTACTCCTAAACCCGTTTTCCTGCTCTCTGCTTAGTCTTATACTCTGCAGTAATGGGGACAGGGCACCATGCACCCAGAATGACAGACCACCTCACTTACTAGAGACTGTACTGTACTTTACCACCTAAAATACTATGCCAGGAGGGAAAAAAAAAAAAAAAAAAAAAAAAAATCAGCAACACTGGAATCTACAAATAACAACAAATGTACAAGGTGTACATTTCGGTTATCCATAATACAACAGTTCTCGTGCACAGTATAGCTATTGAGGATAATGTTGGTTTCAGCCTTTTCACTCTCCTCCTGTCCACCTAAATTTACCCAATTTGGGTAAACTGAGTTCCTGATCCAGTAAGCATTGTGACATCGAGCAACAAGAAGATCCTCTGTAACACGTTTTGAAGTTAAGCATATACTCAGTTGAGCCAAATCTGTAATGATTTTTTCAACATTCAATGCTGATTTCTGCAATTTTAAAAAGCAACTAAAATCTGTTTGTAGAATATGAGCAACCACTAACTGCAACACCCAAGAGTTATGAGTCCAGAGAGTCCTCTCCATTAACCTAGAATTAGTCAGCAACTCAGCATGTAACATGTGGATAGCCACATTAGTCCCACATCTAGAAAAAAAAATTAACCAAATTTTCACCTACATTAAAAAAAAAGCTTTACTTATCAGAACATTTCATTAGAAATCCTCTCTACTTTTGTTAGCAACAGAATTTAAGCCACAGTTCCAAATCCTAAGAATTAGTGTTCCATCTTTCTTGCATCATTCTTCCCCACAAAAAAAAAAAACTTCAGCCAAAGAGTAGACAGGTGAAATCATCATCAAAAGCTAATCTTTTTAATCCAAAACATACTGGATTCCCACTAATATTTTTGATGCTGAAGCTAGAGCACATAGTGCATTTGGTTCCTCAGGTGGCAGGAAAACGAACTCCTAGAGACTAAATTAATTTCTAACTTTTACAATATAAATATGCCTGGTATGAAGCAATGGATGCAATTTGCTCCAGGAGGTAAAGCCCTCTTAATCAATTTTCCATCCTACCATAAAAGTACATCTTGATTTCTTTTGCCAACAATTCAGTTTTCAATACTCACATCCTGATTATATTCCAAGAACACATGGAAATTTAAATCCTTTCTCAAAATAGGATGTGCTGCCACGCGACACAAAAACACTTCATGCATTGCAACTGTCTTCTTGAATATTGCCAAATATTCACTGAAAACAAGAAACAAGCCAACATAAGAATTTCACATGAAGCAATTAAGTTTGAGATAAGCCTAGTGAGCAGCTTTAAGAGATCCTCAGAAAGGATATAAATTATAAGCTGATACAGTAGAGGTTATCACTCCAATATTTGATATATACATAAATAGTACAATGTTAATACTAAGGGGAAATTTGAAGCCCTAATATTACAGAGAGACTTTTAATGAAGACTCAACAAATACATCCTAATTTTTAAGGTTAACACAGACTGGTTTGCTGAAAAGTGTAACTTCATTTAATTGCCCTTTCCCCAACTCCCCAAAAATCAAGAAACTGAGACACAGACTACAGTCACTAGGCACTGTGTAGCTGATATGCAAATTCCTTCCTCCCCATCTCCATCCCCTTGCCTAATTGCACCCTCCTTACTTATTTAAATGTTCATGTCGCTTTGTTAGCTGTTGAGATAGCAGTCTTTTATTCCATATTAAAGCACCTAGCCTTTTTGGGCCGAAGCTTACACGGACGTCTTGCTTCATAGTGGTTCTAAAAGTGAAATTGAGCGCTGCATTTGGTAGGTACGACCAAAAAAAAAAAAATCACATTTAACCATGACAATCGTATAGTTGCCCAGTTCAGCCAACTCAATTTTAAAGCAATTACTCATTTGTGATTTAATTAAAAGGAAGACTTTCTCATCAATAAAGTTTGCTAGAATTCATTTTGCTTTGCAAATTCAATGAATAAGATGTAACTTGTCTAGAAATGAGGAAGGGGCTCTTTTCCCCATTCTGAGGTCAAACGGTGAAATGATAATCAACACTTTTGCTTCCACTATGTGCAAGGAGGTTAAGATTTACATACCAGCAAACCAGCAGGGCCAGTGTTGGGAGATGTTTGATCTCAGTGAGAGTAGTAGTCATTCAGTGAAGACAAAAAAGGAGGATGCAGAGGATGGAGGTGGCAGTAGAAGAAACCCAAAGTTTTCTGTGTTATCCAACCCCTAACCAGACCACAAGAGAATCATGATCAGGGCCGCTGGAAAACCACAGATTGTTTAAAATCTATAGTGTTTCGCTAATTTTCAGTTTTCTGCATATGAAGTGTATATCTACTCTGCTATAAATTATGTGGTATGTAACAGTAATACAGAGCTTTTTAAGATATTTGCTCACAGCAGCTGGAGTTCGGAGAGAAAGCAGCCGTTCTAAGAGTTCTATGTGCTTTTCTTGCCAATTCAGAGCTCTTGATAGAAGCAGTCTAGAAGCAGCGTAAATATACACTTGAAAACTGAAACCAATGACAGGAAAAAGATCAAAGAAGTGAATGCATGATAAGGAAAGTGGATGAAGCAAGGAGAAACTTCACTGTGTAACTCAGTATGTAATAAAAAGCCTTACAGCAGGTATTTCAACACACATTAAATTCACAGTAAGGGAAAATACTATTTTCAGGAAGTATATTCTCCTTGTGGAAAAAAAAGGAGTGTCAAAAAAGTATTTTCTAGTAATCTTCATATTTCTTGGGGAACAGAAGTTTAGCATCTATGTTTACAGCACCAATCACATCCAAGAATCCCTAGCTCAATCACTACATGTATAAACCTTAAAGTCTCATTATGCTTATAAAATGTAGAACACCAGAACTAAAAAAGATAGAGGTTACTTCCTCCCTTTGCAGATGTTCTGTGAAGAAAAGGATCTAACTAGTTCTTTCCGTATAAAAGAATGCTCAAGAACAAGCTGATTTTTTTTCCTGTTTCAGAAGACATTCTGTGAAATTATTTCTACAATTTTCCTAATGGCTCTGATCATGATCACTAAAATAACCCTGCTTATGTAGCAACTGAATTCTCAAGCCTGTATCTCACAGAGAACCATTACAGTGAAATCAGAAACATGGAAAAGCAAACAGCATTAAAAGTTGAGGGATATTTAAAAAAAAAGTAACCAAGTCTACATACGCCTCCAGTTCTTGTTTCATCTTGGTGAATTCTTCTTTAGTCATTGATCCTTCCCCTTCTCCAAGTTTCTGCAATTTCTCCCTTGAGGCATCAAAGTCAGGCCTGGGTGGTGCTGGTGGAATCTGGAATTGAATAAAATTTTTTTTTTTAATTGCTCATCTTCTCAGTCAAACAACATCCATTCAGTACAAGAACTGTAGATTGCCTGCAGCTTTTTAATATATGGCTCTCTCTTTTATCATTCATTACAGCATTTATGGATAAAGTCTTTCATTCATGAGCCAGACATGCTGCATTACTACACCAATTTTGGGCAAGTGTCCTTGGAGATTACTGAAGTATTAACTAACGGCCTCAGTAGTTTAATTACAACACAAACCAAATAATACCTAGCTTTCCCATGACAATGACTTAAAACTTGAAATAATTATTTTATAATTAGTTTTGTTTTAGCTTATTTGATAAGGATTATGTCTTGTTTAAAGAAAAAGAACTCCACAATTGTTTTCACATCACCAATTTATAGCTCCCCAAAACTTTAAACCAAAAAAGAAACATTCCATATTGTTTGCAGGCACTAGCTCTTTCTTGCAGCACTGCTGACATTAAAGATACATCTGTTGAAATAACAAAGCACATAGTAAACAAGTCTCTAGGTTAATCTTGTAATATAGTATATTACCACTGAAAGAGAAAAGACTGCAGTCAAACTAATCCTGAACAGCTATCAGTACAGGGAACCATCAAAAAGATAAAACTACGCTTACATTTTAGTTCACCGATATTTGCCCATTACATTAATGCACTGCAAAAAAAAAAAAAGAAAAATCCACCACCTACGCAGTCAACTGTCTGAAAATAGTCATTACCATGCTGAAGGTCTCGTCACTTCAAATAGCTTGTCTGACTAAAAAAGTACTAGCTCAAGAATAGTATCACACATCAGATTATACTCACCATAATGTACCTACTAGTCAATTAGAAATATACGCTTACCTTCTGAATCAGTAGACACCCCCCAAAACACAAAATTAATACCTAACTTTCACACCAAGATGACAAATATATCTATTTGTAATTGAAGTATGAACAGCAGCACCCATTTTTAATAGGCAGTGTCATAAGGTGACTATTTCAGGACGTCTGTTCCCCAAAGGCCTGAAATAAACTTCAAAACCTAAGTTTTTAAGTTGTGTATTAAGGTTCTCTGTAGTTCTAGATGGTATTTGCGCTGCTTTTTTCCCCTCCAACTGATTTATGATAAAATGATTCTGATCTTCACAATAGAAATTGGAAAAATCTGATTACTAGAGCTCAGTTACTGCACTCTGCCATTCCTGTTTTAAGTTTCATGTTGCCTTTGTTTTAGCTAAGTTAAGCATTAGCTTGCAAAAACAATACCACCAAGTTACACAGTTCACCTACCTCCCGCACTTTTAACATGGGGGACTAAAAATACACTTGGATACAGATTAAACTACTCGCTCCTTAGAAGTGAAAAGTGAGAAAGTATGACAACTACAGTAACTTTCCTCCAAGCTTGCTTCAACCATTAATTCTGTGTAATTGCATAAAACGAAGTATTAGGGCATCTGATCTGATTTGAGAAGGAATGAACACCTGCCATTTCCATTGCATTTAAAAACAGTCACAAACACTTTTGATACAGTCCAGAGAAAACAGTGCACATAAACCAAAAGAACTGTAATACTTACAATATAGCCAGCATAGTCCTCATTCTCAACAAAAGAATCATGAAGCCAAATAAACTCTTCATGTTGACGGACAACAGAAAATTCATTTTGTTTGAAATTTGGTAAGGAACTCTAGAAGGGGAAAAGGAGGAAGAATTAGGAAAAAACCCCAACAAACCCAAAACCAACCCACACACCAAAAAACCCCCCAAAAGCACAATGTATTTCATTACTATGTGAAAAACATCCTGAAGGAACAACAAAAATAATCCAACCACCCAGGTAAGGATATGACCAAAAAAAAAAGTTCATACAGCAATAATTATCCCCATCTTAATTACCACAGCAATCAATTGGCATGGGTTCCCCAAGAAGGTTATGGAGTCTCCACCCTTGGAGATGCTCAAAACCAAAATGGACGAGTCCTGAGCAATGTGCTCTGGTCCACCCTGATTTAATGGTGAGAGTGAGGCAGGAGATGGGACTAAATGATCTCCAGAAATTTTATTCAACCTCAACTATTCAGTGATTCTGGGATCAATAAACACTCAAATCTAAAAAAAACCCAGCCATAAACAAGCAGTAACTAAAAATTATTCTTGTGTGCAATTCCATTATGAAATATATTTTTAGAATCTGAAACCATGGCTAATCAACTAAAAACTATACTGAAGAATATTGAGGTTTATTAAAGAGTCTACCTGCCAATAGGCCAATTAATAAGCATGGGAACGGCATGACAACGCATCAGTACAAATAACTGAACATCACTGTCTTCTAAACAGCTTTTAACTTCTTAACTTTTTAGCCGCCTTTTTCTTAAGCACTGAAGCTACACAGTCTCTTGAATATGAGATGATGCTACTTTCTCATTTCCTTTGCGTTGTGTTACACTTGTTTCAATGAACAGTTTAAGCAAATTTTCTTTTCTATATAATTAGGAAAATGTTCAGTGTACAAACCCAGGCTTTTACCTTTGTATGGACAGTGAATTTCACTTTGTCTCTCTCACTGAGTGCATCTGAGATATCCACTTGCAGAGCAGCATCAGTCTGGAGATCAACATTTATTGCTCTAAGCTAAACAAAGAAAAATCTATTTAGCTCAAATTAAAGAAAGTTAATTATATTTCCCTTATTCTTCCCTCAAAAAGAACCCTGATCCTTCAGTGCTGAACATCCTTAAAACACTGAAGATAGATTACAAAAAGCCCCAACATTAAAAAATTATTTCCAGCAAAAAAATAAATTCCAGTAGTACTCCTTATGGCACATATGACCACACAAATAATTGCCTCTACCGTACTCCTTGTTTGTGCACTATCTTCATTTCTGTGTATTGTTAACTTGCTAGTAATTGAGATGGTCAAGACAAAGTGCATCTACAGACAGCAACAAGTTCACTAGCTTTCTCTCTTCACTGCCCCTGCTCCCCTGAATCAACAATAAAGGTAATTATAAAGGTACCAACAATTGGAAGGGTACTTCTAAGGAGAAAAGCAGTCCTGTATTTCAAAGAAGCAAGAGCTATTAAAGATCTGGTTTACTCACATTGTCTTACACTATTATTTTGTTTAACATTTCACATAGAATCATAGAACCATTAGGTTGGGAAAGACCTTTAAGATCATCAAGTCCAACTGTTAACCTAGCGCTGCCAAGTCCACCATGAAACCATGTCCCTGAGCACCACATCTACACAATACCTCCAGGGATGGTGACTCAATCACTTCCCTGGGCACCCTGTTCCAATGCTTGAAAACCGTTTCAGTGAATAAATTTTCCCTAACGTCCAATCTAAACCTCCCCTGCACAACTTGAGGACATTTCTTCTCATCCTATCACTTGCTACTTGGGAGAAGAGACTGACACCCACTTCACTATAACTTCCTTTCAGGTAGTTATAGAGGGTGATAAGGTCTCCCCTCAGCCTCCTTTCCATGTTTTTTAAACCGAAAAAGAAATAAAAAAAAAAAAAAAAAAAAAAAAGGCTTGAACTTCACATTGCTAAGTCTCCTTGGAAGTACTTTTCTGAAAACAAACAAAAAAACCCAAACAAAAAAATCCCACCCAAAATCAAAAAAAGCCAAGCCTCCGATTTCTTCCAAATCAGCATGAGAAATGGCAAAAGTGCAAGGAATATGTGCAATTTTTTTCCACAAGACGTGAAACTCTCTCACAAAATAATTCCAAAGTCACATCGAAAAGAAAATGAGACAATGATCAAATATAGAAAAATTGGAAAATTATCTGCATACCACAATGTTTGGCAGTAACTGGCCCAAAGGCTTCAACAGTACTTGGTGAAACTAACCTCAGCTAGACCCCAACTGGAATTCGAGTCCCCCTCACCCTTGCTGTTCTAGAGCAATCTGTCCCATGACAATTTCATCATCATGATCAACAGATTTTCAGAATATTTTTACAAGTCCTAAGGCTAACTTCGAAATCTTCTCCAATCACATTGTCAAAAAATATTTTGACATCATGCTCATGAGGCTTACTTTTTTCTTTTTCTTTTTTTTTTTTTTTAACTGCATTTTCTTTGATGCTGCATTTTTTCTAGAAATATCACATTCTATAGCATAAAAATGCTCTGTCATACAAACAGACATTTTCCTGCAAACATTTCAGGACTGCATTTTGAAGTCCTTAGTCAAGTACGAAAATTCTTTAAGTATCAGCAACACACAGTACAAAGGTTACATGTGAGTAGATTCTGAAGGTAATGCTGGCAGGCACTGGAACAGCACAAGAAGAGAAGCATCAACTGCCACATCTTGTTTTCCACCAGTTATCTTAATCCTCATCTTAAATTATAGTGGTCAGCTCCCAGACCAGTTTTCTTGTTAACCTCAAAGCACGGACAACTCTGCTGCTTATGTAGCAGCAACCGGACTAATATATCTTAGAATTAGTGTACGAAAGTAAACCAAAATCATATAGTCTAGCATATTCTGCTAGGCTAGCAAAACATAACAGTTCATCAGCTATTACACAAACAGCAATAGCTTTTCCTTGTAGCAAAGTTGGAAATCGTTAAAGCCACCACACAGTAACATATTCACACATGTGATTCAAGGATCACTTTTTGTTCAGTTTTCCCAAGGCTTAGGGGGTCACTGCCTCACACAAAGGCGTATTATCATGCAACAATCCATTGCAGATCACTTCTCAGAGGCAGAATCTCCTAGCTCCTACTGAGTTTCCAATATGCTTAACATCTAATTTAGGAAAGAAAAATATAATCTGACATACCAATGTCTGCCTTATGTCATGACACCACATTTTTCAGCTTGTAAAAGAAGTTTTTAGTGGTTACACTGTCTAGGGTACTGTTTGTTTTTCCTCCAGTCCCCTAGAATACATTAACAAACAGCGTAATCTCAGCAAATAATCTGGACTATCCAAATGGTACTTTTGTAGTCTTTCACAGGTCACAAAAATTTCTACTAACTTCCTCCTTTTTTTAAAAAAGCAGTACAATACACAATTCTAAGATCCAGTAGAAAGGCTGTTTGTCACTAGTGCATATGCAGCCTCTAGCGCAGCGCACCCCAGCCATATGCACTATTCACAACTTCAGAAACAAAATGCTTATCTGTGCTGTGAAAATTAAGAACTACCTACATGACAACTTCACTCATGACATAGAAGTATAAATCAAACAAATAGTCCTTTACAATGAGTTAAGTTTGTAACAGTTTTGAAAAGTTTAATCATATGTTAAATTATGCTGTGTAGCCTGACTGCCAACAGGGAACATTTTCATCTGCAATGGTAATGAAGCATTTATGAAAGATGTCAAAGACAATCAGAAAGTTGAAAGACTTTAAATGTATTCACGTGACACAACGGTTCACATGGCATTACTGGGAATTAAAATCACAAACATCACCATCACACAACAAACTTAAGCAACCTCTTCATCACTACTTCCAAAACCAACGGATGTTTTTCTAGTCATGAAGGGAGTAGGAAATGAAAACACAAAATGCTACAAAACCCAATTTGGATGTGAATGTACCTTGAAATGGAAGTACCTCAAATTCTGGAAAAAATGGAGGTGGGATACAGCCCCTTTGTATCATGCTCCCCCTCCCCCCAGTCTAATTCATCCAACATTGCACAATAATTTTTTGCTTAGCTACATACTCTACACCCATGCGGAAGCACTTGCAAAACAAAAGCTTCATTTAGCTGCTTTACAGCTTCCTATGCTACACCAAGAAAGTCCCTGTTTTATTCAAAGGATCTAGAAAACACCAGAAGCCAGGGCTACGCAATGTCACAGTACCAAAAGAGAACACAATGCAACGAGATGATTTAGCACCTAGGCTCTTGCTTAAGCATCAACTATACTTGAAATGATAAAGGAAGGAAGCTGGTAGAGACAAGGGAAACAACCAAACCTTATATTCCTAAGTAATGTCATCTGTTAACAACAGCAAGTTCTATACTCTAAGCTTTCAAAAACGTTACATAAAAAAGGACCCTTTCTCAGCGGGTTCTTTACAGGCAGATAAATACACAGAGCAAGGGAAACAAACAACACTTTTACAACAAAAAATTACATGGTGTCTTCACAGCATTAAGTTTCTAGCAGACCTGTTCTAAGGGTTAGCTCATTTCCCCTGTATGAGCATTCAAGAGCATTAGCCAAGTCAGCTAAAGTTTATATAGACATAAAATACCCAAGACAGTATTAGTAGAACAATACCACACCACCTTTCAAAGCATGTATTGTTTATGTTAAAGAGAGTGCAAAAAACCCAATAGGAACTGAGTTACTCCAAGTGAAATCGATAGTATCTTCCTGAGATTTAGAAAAGCAATTCCCACAAGCTCACTTTATGCAGACCATTTGTAATAAGTTCCTTCTACAGACCACCCACTGCTACTTCCTCAAAGAGGATTCTCAGTGCTGTTTTACAATTCTCCAGAAAAGGCTCCATGTGGTATAACACAATTGTTTTGAGAATTACTGTTCTGTGTGGCATCAACATAATTTCCAGCCCTCTTTTCATCCCATCACCCCCACGTTAAATTTAACACAACCGTAGCTGACCAACATGACTCTGAAGAGTTAAAAGTACAGTTGTCATAGCAATATCTGAATTCTAGAGAGGAAAGCGTACCAATTTGCAAAACTAAAAGCTCAGTTACTCTAACCAGAAGTTGCCATCCATGGTTTCAAATAAAGGCTTGACCTACTCAGTTTTTAAATGTCAATCAGAACCAGGAAAACAGTCTACGAAAAGCTGTTTATTTTTACTACTGCTACTAAGAAAAATAAAGTTACTGTTTTGAAGATTAAAATACAGCAAATCCGTTTATGAACAGACCGTCAGTATTGCTTTTGATTAGATTTTCTGTATCACAATCAACATCAAGCCGATAAGAACCTGTGCTTTAACCCCAGAGATTTGCACAGCAGTGAAAAAATCCCAGAGTGATTCAAATTAAGAAACCTAAAAGAATTAGGGAAAGGAGAAGGACACTGTTCTGGTTTAATTCCTCCATGCTGCATGAAGATGGTGGAGGGACAGGAGGAAGAAAAAAAAAAAAAAAAAAAGAGAAAAAAAAAAAAAGACTGCACTTGGCCAACTGAGATGATGTAAGTTGTCCAACAGCACAAACAAGACTGCTAAGAGATTTAAGGCTTTCAAATCACCTTGTGAACTCCGACTACCTGTAGCCTTAGAGGGAAAACTAATAACCCAACAAACAAAGAAGTTTCACACTGAATCAGATCTGCATTGTTATGTTCTACCTGTCCCTTCAGATAAAGACTATTTAACTGTGCGCTTCAATGTCTCTTCCTGAACACCAGGGACAACCTATGTAAAATACAACTCCATAACTGACAAGTTCTTCCATCCTTCTTCTGAAGACACTCAAAGGACAACAATTTCTACCTTCTCTCTTTTTTTATCCAATATTCTTACTAAAGTAGCTGTATAATTAAAGGCAAAAGATCTACAGTGGCCAGAACTGGCCTAATACAATACTAGAATTCCTTTTTCAACTTCTGTTCATAAACTGGAACATAAAATGCACTGAATTCCTACCACGTGCATACAGTCAAGAATCACTTGGTACTTAACATTATATTTGACACCTGTGTATGACATGCATGATAAAAGCATATACCAATGCAGCGTTTTTCAGATTTTGTATTTTGAGTAATATACTGGATGTAGCCATTTTAATAACCAGCACCAGCCAAGGCAACCTAAGCAACCCAGAAGCTGCTCTCCTGCCTTGCTCAGTCAGTCTTTCTCAAGACACTAACCAACAGGGGTAATCGGTCTGAATAAATTATACTAGACTAGCTGATTTGTTGCTTAAGTGAGGCAGGCAAGCTAAAGAAAGATGGATACAGCAGTCAGAAGAGAAACGAAGGCCAGAAACAGCAGGGCAGAGAATAAAGGTTTTCTCAGCAAGAAACATAATCGCGGCATCCTGTCCCAACAACAGAACTTCTTTTCAATTCAGAGTTTATTATGCAGCGTGCGCCTGCAAAGTGAACATCCCATTGTTATCTATGGGAGAGCCTCTAGGGCCTAAAGAGACAAGAGAAGGCAGGACTATTTCACCTAGGCCCTGCCTCACAATTAAAGATGGAACCTGGTGCTCTCCACAAGGCTGGTCAACCTGGTCAGGGCCACAGCACAATCTGTGTGTGCGGGGGGGTGGGGGCACGTTATCAGGGCAGGGAAGGGCACAGAGAGAATATGCGTCTCTAGCAACACACACAACCCCCTCTCAAGCTATTCCACTAAAAGCACGGAAGAACTGCCCTTTCAAAACTTGGGTGGTAGAACAATGAAAAAATCAAGGCAAAACACACGCACACGGCGACTGATTTCAGACGGAGGCTATGCTATTCCCGCATTAGCAGATGCCAGCAGAGGGACACCCCGGACCCTGACCGCCTGCCGCCCCCCGCCATCTCGCGCCCCTCCCGGTCCCCACGCAGGGGGCTGGGGCCAGGCGGCGCCTGGAGGGCCCCCGGGGGAGGGGGCCAGACCTGCCCTCCCCCACCCGACCCCCAGACGCCGGGGTCCCTAACGCCGCCCCGCGGCACTTACACCTCGGTCCTCCTCCGAGAGGAAATCTGGGCCG